TGACAAAAGACCAAATGCAGAAGCTACTCTTGACATGACCAAGAGTAAAGAAAAGAACAGAAAAATCTAAACCAATGAAATAACGTAATTTTAAAGATTATTTTTATTTCTTTATGTGTACAAGAGCTGGGGTGTAGGCCAGAGATGCAGGGGGTGAGAGGATTCATCAGAGACAGACTGGGGAACAGAACAGGTAGCTCAGCTGAAATACACTGCTGAAGGTAGCAGCAGTCAAGACAGGAGAGGTCTGCTGTGTCATATGGGTCAGCTCCCAGGCTGGGGATAGAACTCACACCTGTAGTGGCTGGCAATAGATTGATGTGTTGAGACCCCTGCACCACCAGGGAGGCCCACCATGTAATTTTATGTTTTCAGACGCACACAGTGTTACAAAATAATATAATCTTGATAATTATGTCAGTCCCTCATTGATCTACTTCAATTAGCAATAAGGAATCATTTTTTCATACAATCACTTATTCATTCAACAAACAAATGCCTACTAGGGCCCAACACTCTTCTTCGTACTGAGGATAGATATAACAGGGAACAGATGAAAATTCCCAATATCAGAATGTTTGGATTCAAAGTGGGATAGAGGAGGCAGAAAATAAACTAATAAAAATAATAGAAATAAAAAAGTAGTACATGAAAGTGTATAACTTTCACCTGCAAGGGCAGATAACATCACTATTTTAGAAAAGGGTGTTCTGGGGAGACTGTCTGACACAGGGATATTCTCTTAGGGTCCTGAAGGAAGTGAGTAGATGAGACTTATGGCTATTCAGGGAAGATTGATGAGGGCAAAGGCCCTGGGGCAGGACCTCTGAGATGTTTAAGGAAGAGGAATTTTGTGTGATTGGAATCATAGAGAGTGAGGGTAAAAATGGCAGAATGTGAGGTCAAATAGAAAATGGGAGAACTATTGTGTATGGCCCTGAGGTCAAACTATGAATTTGGCTTTTATGCACAGATGAAAAGCTGTTAGCAGATTTAAGAAAAACAATGATACCTGATTTCAGTTTCAGCACACTGTCATTTGCACTATGGGTAGCTCAGTCATATAAAATGTGCTTACTGGTAAGTTACTGCTGTATAAGTTTCTTTTGCTGCTCTAACAAATTATCACAAACTTGGTGGTACTTCAAGACAGCATATAAATGCATAGAAGTTAGACATGGGTTAAAATTCTGACATGAGTCTCAAGGGGCTAAAATCAAAGCACAAGCAAGATTGAATTTACAATCTGGGGGAGTCCATTTCCTTGCATTTTCTAGTATCTAGAGTCCATATATAGGGACTCCCCAGTGGTGCAAGGATTGTTAAAGCGCAACACTTGCTATCTGCAGGCAACCAGGGGGGTGACCCACATGGCACAGCTGACCTCTCTTGTCTCACCTACTGCTCCCCTCAGCAGTGTACTTTGATGATCGGCCTGTTCTGCTTTCCACTCTGCCTCTCGTGAATCCTCTCACTCCCACATTTCTGAACCCCAGCTCTTGAATGCTTTCATGAATCATTTTTTTTGAAAGAAGAGTCCATACACACTTCTTGGGTCATAGCCTTTGCTTCATTAAGGAGTAGCAAAGTTGCTTTATTTTGACCTTCTTCACATCTCCTTTTGAAGTCACATGTTTCTCTCTTATATTCTTATGGACCTTTACGATTACATTGGACTCATTAAGATAATCCAGGAGAATCTCCCCATCTCAAGATGCTTAATTTTGTCAAATTTTTTCATTTTTTGGGAAGCTACAATATCCATATAGAGCTTCTCAGTATTAGGAAATAAACATCTGGGGAAAAGAGGGAGGACCGTTATTCTATCACAACCTCCAAACATCACACTTTGCTAAATCATCATAGTCTCCAACACCCTCCACACACAAATACCCTTTGCAGAATGCAAACATCAGCTATGGAAATAAGAGATTTTTGAATAAGAATAAAGTACTCTTCCAGAGGGAAATCAAAGAGCAGAAATTAAAACTTTCTACTTACAAATTTCATGGTTCAGAAATTTCCAGATCAATTCTTAAACTGAAAGGCTGCTCTGTGACCCAAATCATGTATTTGGAAGCAGAACAGCATTTTTTTTTTTTTTTTTTGGATGTAGAAAAGAGGCTGGTGACAATATCTATGACTAGAGAGATGCAACTATCTTTAGAATCAGATTCAAGACTTCACTGAGAGCCAAGAAAAGCTCCTTAGATGGAGATTAAAAAAAAAAAAGGCATTAATTCTCCAGCAAAGGGTGCAGGTGCTGGCAGATGGGAGTTGGGTGTGTGCACTGAAATGGTAGGAGCAAGGAGTGCATGCTTCCTTCCTCACCCTGGATTCATCACATCTCTAATTAGGCTGGAAATGATTGGAAAGGGAGAGCAGCAGCAGGCCCGAGGCTTGGTCCGTCACAGTTTCAGAGCACATACAAATTCTCTTTTCTGTGAATGCTGTGGCAATATTCTCCAAGTTTTGTGGTACAGTGCAAGAGATGATTATCTTTTTTTAAAGATTTTTTTTTATTTATGCATACAGAACTGGGGTACAGGCCAGAAGTGTAGGGGCAGTGAGAGGATTCACCAGAGACAGAGTGGGGAGCAGAACAGGCAGATCGAAGAGGTACACTGCTGAGGGGAGCAGTGGGCGGGTCAGGAGAAGTCTGCCATGCTATGTGGGTCACCTCCAGGGCCAGGATTGAACTTACACTGAAGCAGCTGTGGCTAGCTTGCAACGCTGGGCTCCAACCCCATGCACCGCAAGGGAGGGCCCAAGATGATTATCTTAAGAACCAGCAAAGTTGATTCTTTTTGACCCTTTTGCACTAATAAAATAATAAACAAATAATACCTGCCTACCTTATTAGCACTTAACAAGTGCTTGACCAACTAAATAGAGACAGAGCTTTAATTTGAGAATGGAGAGGTAACAGGATCTGTGTTGGGGCCTTATCTTAATGTTTGCTTTTTTTTTTCAAAGTTTGAGACTTACCTTTTAGTAAGATCTTATCTAAGATCTTTACCACAAAGAAAAGGTCCAGCTGAAATGAAGGGGAGGAAAGAGTCAAAGAAGGCCAGCTCAGTAGGGTGGGTAATGACTTTTTGTCACTGAGTACTCTGTGACTTCCAGCACTTAGTAATTTCCTGAGACCTGCAGGGTTAGACAAAAGTTGTATGGAATAATGTCATGTAGGGGCCTATTTTTAGCCACATTTCTTGCTTCATGTCTAATAACTTAGAATGAATTGATGTAAAATAAACCCTACATTTCTTATGAGAGTAAATGGAATTTTTTTTAAAAAGATTTATTTATTTATGCATACAAAACTGGGGTACAGGCCAGAGGTGCAGCGATAGTGAGAGAATTCACCAGAGACAGAGTGGAGAGCAGAACAGGCAGATCGACGAAGTACACTGCTGAGGGGAGCAGCGTGCAGGTCAGGAGAGGTCTGCGGCACCATGTGGTCACTTTCGGAACAGGAGGGGGATCAAACTCATGTGGAAGTGGCTTTAGCTTCTTAGTGCTGTGCTTTAACCCGCTGTGCCAACAGGGAGGGCCATAAATTGAAATTTTTATTAAAATAATGATCAATAGTCAGTGTCACTTATCTCCTAAATATAGTGATCTGCTCCCTACCTGGTTTGGCCAAAAGGCTGTGTGTCAAGCAACATTTGGCTTAGAGCTTAAGAGAAGATGTGCTGCTTGTCCAAGTGGGCATCTGGTCAGTAGAAGAAAGAACTGGGATCCAAATCAAGCTTTGTTTGCTTGAGTCCATCCCTAAAATGTCCTGTTCCTTCCTCCCCAGAGCTACCATTATAAGTTAGGTGGAGGGTTTCTCAAAATTTGAAATTCTGAGAAACTTTTGCTTTTTCTTGCTGAGAAACTTTTGCTTTTTCTATTTTTACCCCAAAAGAATTCACTTTGAATCATACAAAATATGTCATTTCATTCCAGCAAATTTTGGGTTCAAATTCAGACTCTACCATTTATTAGATGTGCTGTTTAAGGTTGTTTGGTCATTCTGTGACTTAGTTTTCTTATGTGCAAAGCAGAAATAATAATGATAATAAAACAGTCTCCAGAGCTGTTGTAAAGATTAATGAAGAGAGTCATGTAAGTGGTCATGAATATTATTATTCAGTCCACAAATATATACTAGGTGCTTTTATTTAGTGCCCACAGAAACAATTCAATGTGGTTAGTGTTTATGGAGTGGTTCCTTATTTATTTTTTAATAAAGCCACAGTTCTGGAGGATTAAAATTCCACCTTTATGACCATTTTTTTTTATAACATAATAGTTCATTTTTACATCATTTTATGCCTTTTTCCATCTCAGTTGTAATCCCCGTGGGCTTCCCATCACCAAATCACCCATGTGCCATCACCATGGTCCAGTGCACTCCCTCCCCCATTTTTTATCCCATTCCCCACTCCACACCCCCCCCAAATATCTCTGGTATATAGTTGTTCATTATTATTATTACTTACTTCTGTGGTTTGTTATACTCCTGCTGTGAGTAAAACCCTCTGGTATTTTCTTTCTGGCTTATTTCACTAAGCATGATATCTTCCAGCTCCATCCATATTGCTGTAAAATTCATGTTTATCTTTTCTGATCACTGAGTAATATCCCATTATGTATATGTACCACATCTTTTTAATCCAGTCAACTACTTTTGGGTATTTGGGTTGATATGGCCACCTATTTAACCTTCTAAGTTACAGCCTCAAGATCTTATCTCCCAGATACAGTCAGGAGGTAAGAGTTAGAGATAGAGGTTAGAGTTTCAATACATGAATTTGAGTGGGATACAATTCAGTTCATAGTAGTCTGCCTTAATGCCTATGTTAATCTCATTCTCACAACCCCTCACAGAAACAGTCAGAATTATCTTTGGTTAAATGTCTATGTTCCTCAGACACAGTTAAGTTGACCTATAAAATTAAATAATATGGTCTCTGACCCAGGAGACTTGAGACTTCATCAGCATCTGTGAAACCATGGCAGGCGAAGTTGCTAGCTTGGAAGCAGGGTAAGTTCTCAGATCCTTCATTGTCCTTGATGATTTTATCAAACTAACTCAATTGGCTTTTAAGATTTCAATAAAAAAGAAATTTTAATTATTATGCTTTTCCTTTGTGGTTTTAAAATATAAAAGATGTCGTGAAGTATTGCAAGATTTTTATTAAAAAATTATTGTGTTTCCTCTAAGACATTCTAGCTTTTCCAAATTTTGATGTTGAAAATGCCAGCCCTCTTCCAGAAAATGCCTCTGAACACACACGGGTTGCCATAATTACTGTGTCTGTCTCACCTCACGCTTCTCTGATTGGAGATCCTATTATCGTTAACGTGAATCCTGTAATTCATCCATTTGTGCTGTCTCGCAGATCTGCACATCAGTGGGAAGTAAGTATTTCGGTAAGGAGTATCATCACTTGTACCAGAAGGGCTTTAAAACAAAACCATCATTGTCTCCCTTCCATTAAAGACAGGCCTGCAGGACTACGAGAGCATCTAAAGAGGACACCTCACTAGTCAGGCTCACTTGAGGAAGCATTACATGGTAATCTTCAGAATGAATAGAAATTAAATAGGTGACTTGAGAGAGGAGAACTCCAGATGGAGGGAGCAGCATGTGTAAAGACCCTGAGGCATGAAGGAGGTTGGAGAATGAATGTAGAGGAGACCCAAGGTGGTGGGTGCTAAAAGGGAGGGTAGTGAAAGTTGAGACTTCCAAAGAAATGGGGAACAGAGATGGCAAGACCTGTCAGCTACTTAGAAAATTGCTTTTTTTTTTTTAAGCCATCCAGTATAAAAAAGCTTATTTCTTCCTCTAGGACCCAGTTTATACAAGCTTACTGATCATTTCAGAGGTTTTGTGTTTCCTACACTCAGCTGTTCAAATATGATGCCAACCCACAGTATTATTCATCTGGGCCCCTCTGCACTCTTCCTGTGGTGCTTGAGAGCAGGGAAATGAAGTGAACAAGAAGTCCCCGCTGCTTTCTGCACAAGAGTAACTAAGTGCCCTAGGGTGGTGTGATTTGCACCAAAGTTTCTTATGCAGGGGAATCTGACTGGTACTTGACTTTAAGACGTTCCCAAATTGATAGGTTGGACAAATACCTAAATCACCAATTGTGAGGAGTCTTGAGAGGTAGTATAAAGTAGTAGTTAAAAAGAGGGATTGTAGAGCCAAACTCTCTGAGTTCAGACAGAGAGATTGAATTATATTAAATTCTTCACAAGACACATTAAAAGGCTTTGAAAAAACAGCACTAAGTTTCTATGTCTGAGCAAAGTTGGGGGGCGGGCAGGTGGAGAGAGTGAATGAAATGGTCACTTGGGCATGCTCTCTGAGGCCTAAGAAGAGGATAGTTAGGATTTTAGATGTATTCTAAGGTAAGGTATTATTTACCTATAGTCACAAAAATATTGTATAACAAGCCACCTCAAAAATCAGTGACATATAACAATAAACACTATTTCTTGCCCATGTAGCTGAGGGTTGGCTGATCTCATAGCCCGAGTTGGGTATATTCCTCCTGCTCCTCATCCTCCTTTAACACTGAGTACATGCCCAAAGCCACATGCATATTTTTTTTAAAGATTTATTTATTTGTGCATACAGAACTGGGGTACAGGCCAGAGGCTCAGGGGTGGTGAGAGGCTTCACCAGAGACAGAGTGGGGAACAGAACAGGCAGATCGACGAAGTACACTGCTGAGGGGAGCAGCGGGCGGGTCAGGAGAGGTGTGCCACACCATGTGGTCACCTCCCGGGCAGGCGGGAATCGAACTCATGCAGAAGCGGCCTTTAGATACTCAGTGCTGTGCTTTAACCCACTGCACCACCAGGGAGGGCCGCCACATGCATATTTTAAGATCTATGTCTGCTTACATTTCACTGATTACAAGTTGTATTTCCAAGTCATAGGCTGGACTTGGAAAGTCACATGGCAAAGGACTGGAGGTAGGTAATGTAAAGAATTGGTAATATTGAATCCACTTCCTGTATCTAACAGAGCAGTGGGAGTTTTGCAAAAAAAAAGAGAGATGATAGGCTTATATTAAACACACACACACACACACACACACACAAAACAGCTGTAGCTACTGTGAGGAAGAACAGACTTCATAGTGTACGGGCCTATTGAATCGCTTGTTAGGGGTTACTGAGTATCTTCCTGAAACTTTATATTTGTCAGATTTTAAATTTACTTCCACTTTCAGTTAGGTATATAATGCTATCTCATGCCTGCTCTTATTTAGATAATAGATGTTTCTTGCAAGTCTGAACAGCATAATGGTAACAAATGATATGTGCGTAAGAGTGAGGTCCTAAGTGACTCATTGCTGTTCTAAGCATAGATTTGAGGGTTAGTAAACCTAGGTTTAAGCAACTGCTTTTTTAGTTCATACAGAGTGACGGTGGAAAAATAACTTGACTTTTTTGCACTTTGGTTTTCTTTTTTGTACAAAGAGATTAATGATAACAATATCACTTCATAAACATTGGTAAGAAAATCCTATAAGATAAAGTATGAAAATGCCATCTTTGTGTTTGGTCCATAATGAGCAATTAACACACAGCTGCTGTTACCGTAATAGACTCATACTTTAATATTCAACACTATTTTAGTCCAATTACTGATAATAAAAATGATAAGATGGTCATATTGTTATAACTGTATAGTAGTTCTAGATAGCTGTTCAAATATGAACAGCTAAAATACAAAGAAATTTCATATTGGCAATAAGTCTGCAGCTAAAACAAAACTAAATGAGTTAATATCTGTCATATAGCCTTACAGTATAAAAGGACATATATTGTTCCATTTGAAGTTTAGTCTATCATCATCGTCCTTTACTGAATATCCTTCCTTACAGCATGTTTATTTGTTTGGTTTGCAAAAGACAGAGATTAGGAGTGTCTGGGCAGGCAATCAAATTAAAAATAAGAAAAAGTCAAAACCAAACTAGTCTCCAGAGACACAACGGCAGAGCTTAACGTGAATTGATTTACACAGATACAGCAATGGAGATGAGACAAGGTCCCCTGTGGTGATATAATTTTCAAATTACTACCTGTCATTGAGCAACATAAGTGAGGTAGCACAGGCAGGGTGGCAAAAGAAATCTAAGCTACTCTTTGCCCTTTTTGTTCCCTGGATGGGAGAAATCACCAAGAGGGTGATTCCCATCTTCCGATCTTCTTCCATTGTACAGTGTAAAGAACATTTGAATTTTTAAAAATCCAGTATTTGTTGAAATGTCTCGAACAGTGCAAGGTGCTTGGGAGAAGGGGAGCTCAGTTTCTGCCTGAGTACAGAGGGAGCCACAGCTAGAAGGGTCAGCCTGAGCTCAGGGCTCTGCTTCCTGGGTAAGATAGGCCTTGAGACCAGTGCTGTGCTTAATAGGGGCTTTAAAATCCTATATATCTTTAAAACAGTTCTAGTACTTTTAAAATGAATTATTTATAAAATTTTATTTACAGTAGCATCAAAGACAAATTGGGAATCAAACATTAAAAAATAATTCAAAAGAATTTTAACAAAAGAATATCAAAATCTGTAGGTTAAAATTCATTGAGCAATGCTGAATTTTCTAGTTATTTTTGCTGTTTTCCAGAAACTGGATTTTTTTTTTAATGAGGTAACTGTATCTGATTCAGAGTGATAAGGTCACATGTCTTTACTTCTCATGGTAGTAGGAGGAAGGTACTCAAGTGTTGCTGCTAATCATAATGTTGCTCAGTGGAAGGGCCCTGGGGCAGGCTGGTAGAGTCAGGTTTAGGTTCTGCCTCTTCCCGCAGCTATGTTACCAGCTGTGTTCTATAACCTAACCTTGGGATAGCTCATTTGTAAAATAGGGATGATAATAAGATCTACCTCACAGGTGGTTTCAATGTTTAAATAAGGTAGAGTTCAGAGTAATACCCAACATTTATGTCATGCTTGATAAATATTAGCTGTTGTTAGTCTGAGGTTGATGGGGTGGCATGATGATCCATTGAGAATCAGTGATTCTATCACTGGGGAGTCACGTATATCAGTAGTAGAGCTAGGTGGTTAGGAGCATGGATTCTGGTGGCAAAACCTGTGTTTGTTTCCTGATCTATTCATTTTTCAGTGATTTCTCTAAATACCTGGCCCATTATTTGCAAAATTGGCCAACTTAATGTTATCAATCACAACGATTTTCTTTTTCAGGTTTAAATAATGTAATTTATATCAGACATGTACAGCTGGTACATAGTAAGTGTGCAACACAGGTAAATTATTAGTATTGCCTTAGATCACATCACTTTTATAGCCAAGGGGGTCAGAGTTTGATATACATCTAAAGAGAAGTAGCCAATCTTTTGAGTGGGTTTTTCTCCTCAATTAAGTCTTAGTTTTGTGTTACTTTACCAGTGAGAAACTATAGAAATGAACATCTCCTAACCTACCTGCCTTATGCAAGATATGGAAAGGCCATTAGTTACAGAAGATTTTCATGTGAGGGTGAAGAGACTCCAGTTGGTAGAACATGAATCCAGTTCTCCTGAGGCCCAGCCTCAGAAGATCCCTAAAAAGAGTGGCTCAAAAACCAGTGTGAAACTACTCTCCTAAAACAGGAGAGATGTGGGGTGACTGTGGGAATGAGACTTATATGGTCCCTTTTTATCCAGTTTAGTTTTATGAGTAGGAGCATCAGATGGAATCCAGAACCCCATTTTCTATCTGTGAAAACATGGTCAAACTGTACAATCTCTCCAGCCATCAATTTCTGCCTCTGTAAAATACATCCAATAATAGTACCCCTTTGTACCAGCAAGGAGAAAATCACCTTATTTACTGCTTAGGATGGCCCCTGACAAATTAGACTTGGGAGAAGGACTCAGAAAACTTTTGTTAAGACAAATAAGATGGAAAGGTAGGTAGAATGAAATGGAAATATTTTGCACTGACATGCATATATTCTCAGTTCAAGGAGAGTTTTTAAACCAGGTCATCTTGCTTTCACATTTTAAATAGATTTTTGTTTCTTTTTTTAAGTGCTGATTCATATTGCAGATTATAGATTTGAAACACTGTCTACATCCTTACGAAATCAGCCATTCACTACTTTTTTTTTTTTAGTTATTCACCACTGGAGAAACAGACTTAGACTTTGAGACCGTGACTCTCTACTCCCTGATAATCTATGCCAAAGATGACCAAGGAGGCACAGCATCACAGACCATTTTAATCCAGATTGCAGATGTGAATGAACCCCCAATATTTATTGGATCCCTCGCTCAGGGAGACCAAGGTACTGTGCTCTTCTCTCGGGGGAAGGAAGCACCCAGGGGAAAGTACAGGTAGAATCCCAGCCCTGCGTCCTTTGTGTTCTTATGGTGTCACAGCTGTAAGAGTGATAGGAGATAACAAAAGTTTATCATGATAACAAAAAGCATGATAAATGGTCACTAACCATGAACAGGCACTGTCCTAAGAGCTTCAGATGTTTTATTTTCATAACAGTGGAGGTAGGTTTTTTGTATTTGTGTTGTATGGATGGATTAACATTCCTTACAAAGGTCAAGCAACCTGTACAACATTAAACATTATTCATTAATCTGCTTGATTATAGCATACTAAAATGATTCCTTTATTCATGTGATTGTGTAATTAGCACTGTGTCTATGTCATTAAGTAGAAATGTCATGAGGGCAAGGATCAAGTTATTTTTACTCTCTAATTGATTTCCATGATGTATGAACCACTCACTTTTGTCTCATTCTTTCTCACCTCTCTGTGTAGTCAAATATTTAATATTTGTGAAGGAATGATCCATATTCTCTATTAAAAGCATAAACATTTGAGGCTTAGCTGTTTGATAGCTACTAAGGGAGAGCTATTAATATTTTCTGAGGCTTAAATTGTTCTTGATGAAGTTTACCTGCAGATGTGTTAATGGATCAACCATAGTTCCAGGGATACAGTAGCAAACGAATAAATGTTAATCTTTTATATTTCCTTTCACAAGCAGATAATAAACTTCTGCAGAGCAGAATCCAAAGTTACAATGTGTGCTATGACCTCTAAAACAGAGTTTGGTGCCTATGGGACAGCCAGCCAGTGTCCTGTCAAGAGTCTGAATGGACCTGTAGACTCTGGCTTTTCTCAAATCCTGTCCCAGTGACTTCCCTGGGGGTGGGGCCTCCTCCTTAGTCACTGAGGGATCTGCCACTGTTCCTACATTCCCAGAAGAGTGGTTTGGCAATAAATTGGCAAGCTTGTTTTCTCCCTGATGTTATTAAAAAATAGATAAGAAGAGAGCAAATATAAGAGCTAAACAATAAGATAATCAAATAATATTAATACATTAGCTATACCCTTGAACTTGTTGTTCAACCTCTGTGAAGCTCATTAAAATGGAAATAATAAAGTCACCAATGATATTAAATACATAGCAATTAAGAAGCATTTAGAAATGTTCAATATTGTTATTGCTTAAGTTTCTAAATCTCCTTGCTCTATATTTGACACATGATAAACATTTGGCACATAGTGTCTACTATTTTGATGGTTATTATTCTTATTCTTATGATTAATGGGAATCACCCTATAAAAATATCTGTGCTGAACCAGCACAATGCCTTAAGTTTATTCTAAATCCAGAATTTCATGAGGGGCTTGGGGCCTTGTAATGGTGACATAAATTCAAAAACTTCTATCTTATATTTTCTGGCAGTTACTGAGATTTATATTCTAGAAGACATTACCCCTGGCACAGTCATTTACAGAGCTTTTGCCAAGGATCCAGAGAATGAAGTTTTGGAGGTAATTTATGGTTTGGGAATATCAGAAACTGGTGGGTTACATTTGACCTCAATCACATAGAAAGCCACAGAAACGATCAGATTAATTACATCCACAATTTAGGTTTCAAGCATAACTTTTGTCTCAATTACCAGCACATGTCAGGTGAAAAGGATTGAAGGTTGGGTGTCTAGGCAACTGCTTTCCTTCTAGGACCTTCCACCCTAAGTGGGCAGGCCCAACCTAACCTTTAGGTGAGTTAACTTCTGACAAAAGATTCCAAAACATTTCAATTCATTTTGGGCTCTCTTTGCCATATACACTGTCAAGAAAAAACACAGCTTTCTGGCAAAATCAATTTGAATTTTTAAATTCTAGGTCTCATCTTCAGGCTTTATAATATTCCAGTAAGGTGCTTGTTTTCAGAATAGGTGTCTTCCAGTTATAGATAATGTGAAAGAGAGAGGGAACTTGGACTTAGTGCCTGGAGGCTTGGATATAAGCTCTGAATTTACCCTGCAAGACATTTGACATTTCTGCTTTTCTGTTTCAACTGTAAAATTGTGATAAGGATATCTGCTTTGTTCTCTCATATTGCCTTCTCTCATATTATAATGAGTGTTAAAGTGGTCTTTAAAACTCTTTAATCTGTAAAGTAACTTGCAAATGACAGCACTTAGATTATCTTAATTTTTCTTAAAGATTTATTTATTCATTTGTGCACACAGAACTGGGGTACAGGCCAGAGGCTCAGGGGTGGTAAGAGGCTTTACCAGAGACAGAGTGGGGAACAGAACAGGCAGATCGATGAAGCACACTGCTGAGGGGAGCAGCGGGCGGGCCAGGAGAGGTGTGCCACACCATGTGGTCACCTCCCGGGCAGGCGGGAATCAAACTCATGCAGAAGCAGCCTTTAGATACTCAGTGCTGTGCTTTAACCTGCTGCGCCACCAGGGAGGGCCTATATTATCTTAATTTTAATGTCCTTTTTTAATTTTAATTTTAATGTTATAATGGTTATAGTCTTATTAAACTGCAACATTTTTTAGCTAATGAATAGATAGAAAAGACTATCATAGTTATAATTTTTTAAAGTTGCATTGCTTTCCCAACTTGTTTAAAAATTAGAGAATTGTCCATTTTGATGCTATAATTTCAACATTTACAATTTTTTGGTACTGCCTATGGATCCGTGTTTACGGCAACTTGAAGCAATAGATGGTCACTGGTGTCTGAGGCACTATCCACTTGGTTTTTAAAAGTATTGAATATTGGGCTCTCCTGGTAGTGCAATATGTTAAAGCACAACACTATGATACTGGAAGTAGCCACTTCATGAGTTCGATCCCCACCCTGGAGGTGTCCCACATGGAGATGTCCCACATGGTGCGGCAGACCTGACCCACCTGCTGCTCCCCTCAGCAGTGTACTTCGTCAATCTACCTGTTTTGCACCCCATTCTGTCTGGTGAGTCCTTCACCATCCCTGTACCACTGGCCTGTACCCCAGTTCTATATACATAAATAAATAAATCTTTAAAAAAATAAATAAAAATAAAAGTATTGAATACACTTGAATAATTACACAAAGGAACACTGCTGTTGTCAAGCTCCCCCCCCCCCCCCACATTTGTCTCATCCTCCTCCCAAAAGCACAATACTACTTCCAGGATGGATCTAGAAAGGTCACAGCTTTCTTCACAACATGCAATTAAGCCACCTAATCATGCATATTGCTCCAAATCAACATGTCCAAGATAATAGTATTAAATCCAGCTCTAAGCAACTCCAGCTACATAGATATCAGATATCATATTACAATTGCTTCCTTATATTCTCCATGGCAGCTCACCCACCATGTTGACATTTCAGGGTGGGAACTACATCACAGTTCAGATGGGTTTATCTCTCACTCTAACTTGCAATCACAATGACTTAGGAGCCAATTAATGCAAGTAATTCATTTCAAATGAAGGACTTCCAAATGCTTGCTCATAGAGATTAAATGTTTCTGGCTCTGGCCTATACTTTTCTCAGAAGAGAATTGGTTCCTTGGCCATATTTGGAAGGCTCATGCTATGTTCTTTGTAGGTGGAATTCCACCAAACATGGGATGACATTTCAGGGTTTACATAAGCTGTGGAAACATGCATTTAGATAAACTCCTACACACATCCTCTGACACAGCAGGCCTGACCAGATGTGTTATTCTAATACTAATGACCTGGCAACAATTTTCATATTAATTAGTTGATTTTACAATGGATATGGATAGCCATTATTTTCCAAAGTCATTTGATCACAAAATGTTTTCTGTCATGAAATATCTGGTGGAGCTTGTGGTGTGTGGAATACATTACGGGACTTTTTTCTTCTTTTTTAAAAGATTTATTTCTTTTTGCATACAGAACTGGGGTACAGGCCAGTGGTACAGGGACGGTGAGAGGATTCACCAGAAACAGAGTGGGGAGCAGAACAGCATGACTGATGAGGTTCACTGCTGGGGGAAGAAGCGGGCAGGTCAGGAGAGGTCTGTCGCGCCATGTGGATCGCCTCCAGGGCAGAGATTGAACTCATGCTGAAGTTGCCTTAGCTTCTATGGGCTGTGTTTTAATCTACTGAGCCACCAGGGAGGGTCTGGGACTGTTTTTGTTGGAAGAAAACACACAGCCTTTATTCGAGCAAAATGGAGATTGGTTTGACTTTCATCTCTGCTATTTATTCTCCAGGCAAAAGTTTTTAAATCCTATTAACCTAATGTTCCTAATCTATAAATTAAAACAGTACATTTATTAATCCACTAATTAATGTGATAGAAGAAATGGGTTCTATTTCAGGGATTAACCTGGGAATTCACTGATAAAAATTAAAGTGTGCGACTGTCACATGATAAACGCAATTATTAAAGTCATTTTTATTATCCTCAAACACCAGACCCTAAAACAGTGGTGATTTCTCTCAGATTAGAACTCTTTTCTGTATCAATACAAAGATTCTAAGAAATGAAAGTTGCCAGTTTATTACTGTTAGAATACACACCTGGGCTGGCCTATTCTGTCAGAGGATGTGTGTAGGAATTTATCTATATGTACCTTTCCATAGCTATGTAACGAAATGACATTTCAGAGTTGAAAAGTGGACTGGTGTTAGAGTGAGAAACTCCTGCTTGCCACAGTTTTAGAAATGGCCCCACACTTTCATAATTTTTATCACGTGAAACACCATTAGGTTCTCATTGGGAAAACCTAATGTTTTCTGTATCAATACAAAGACTCAAAGAGAGAGTCTGTGGGAGAATGAAAAGAATCATTGTGAAATAACCCCAAAGATTTATCTGCCATATCTACTTTCTAGGGGAATGACTTTTCCAGAGCCTTGTCTCATCTAGGATGCACATATGTGCACATCCAGAGACACATACACACACGGAAGGGAATGATACTCAAGGTTCAGAGAACCAGAGATAAAGTCTTGAGAGAAGTCATAGAAAAATAAACATCTTATATATAGAGGAACATAGATAAGAAACACAGCAGACCTCTTGTTAAAATCAGCATAAAGAAATAAGATAATAGAATCAACTATGTAAAATATTGAAAGAAAAAAAAAAAAACACCAAGAAATTTATTATCAATGAAATTGTCCTTTAAAAGCAAAGGAACAAGTTAGTCCAGTGCCATACATGACCTTTCAGCCAATGACACTTGCATATGTGAGTGGTCCTTATGTCCTGCCTTGGTGGGTTTTAGGTTGTGCTACTACATTTGTGTAACTACATTTGATAATGTTTGCACAATGACAGAACTGCTCAATGATGCATTTCTCAGACTGTATTCCCATTGTTAAGCCATGCACAGCTGTAAAAACTTTCTCAGACAAAACCTGAAGAAATTCACTATTGGCATTCCTGACCCATAAGAAATACCAAAGGAAACTCATCAGCAAGAAGGAAAGGATATAGAAACATAGATCTGCATAAAGAAAAGAAAGCTATGAGGGAAGAAATAAATGAAGGCAAAATAATGTATTTTTGATTGATCTCAAAAGTAATTTAAAGGGCCTCCCTGGTGGTTCAGAGTTTAAAGGCATAGCACTATAGAGTTATTGCCAGCCACTGTGGCATAAATTCTATCCCCAGCCAGGGAGCTGACCCACATGGTGCAGCAGACCTCTCCTTTCTTGCCTGCTGCTCCCCTCAGCAGTTATTTCAGTAGATGCACCTGTTCTGCTCCCCACTCTGGCCTAGATCTCAGTTCTTGTATGCATAAATAGACTAAGTCTTAAAAAGAAAGTAATCTAATGGTAACAATGTATTAGAAGATTAAAGTAGACTGATAAGTGAAATCAGTGATAATAGTGTCAAAGGAAAAATTGGGGATATTCTGTTATAAGATACCTATATTACTTATAAAGTGTATACTGCTATTTGAAACTAAACTTAGTTTAAAATGTATATTGTAAACTTTGAGACAATAACTAAAAAAATTTACAAAGATGAAAAATCGATATACTAAGAAAATAAAGAAAATGGAATTGTATAAAATGTTCAATTAGGCCCTCCCTGGTGGCTCAGTGGGTTAAACCACTGCACTGAGAAGCTAAAGCCACTTCCGCATGAGTTCAATTCCCGCTTGCCCAGGGGTGACCACATGGCGAGGCAGACCTCTCCTGACCCGCCCGCAGCTCCCCTCAGCAGTGTACTTCGTAGATCTGCCTGTTCTGCTCCCCACTCTGTCTCTGGTGAAACCTCTCACCGCCCCTGAGCCTCTGGCCTGTACCCCAGTTCTGTATGAATAAATAAATAAATAAATATTTTAAAAAAAAGTTCAATTAAAGGGAAAAGACAAAGCATAAGTCAATGAATAGAGAATGGTTACAGTCATGGTAGATTTAATTGAACTAATACAAATGGTTCACATGCATCAATTCAAAGAAAGATTGTCAAGGTAGATAAAAAAATAAGTCCCAATTACAGGGACTTATTCTTGAGAAAAAGGTAATTTAGTATAAAATTCATACATA